TACTTTAAATGTTATATTTTAGTGTACATGCAATGCACCTCAATTTCCGAAGCATCCAGGAACGATTGACCCTCCACAGATGGAGTTACCTCAGCAGAAATCTGACACCAATCCCAAATATTTCAAAATAAAACAAAAATTAGTTAATTTTAAGTAAGAATTATTTGAAAATACCTGGTTTTCATTCTCCATCTCCTCCATTTGTGTTTGGGTTAGAATTCTTCTTCTCTTGTACTGGAACCCGCTACTTGCTCCGGTGTTCTCCATGGCAAAGAGATGTGTGGTAGTTCTTGAAGGTATCCGAAGACGGTAAGCAATGTAGAACGAAGAGCAGAAGAGTTTCGATTGATGAAGGCGTATCATTTCCGAAGACTGGTCGGGGGATTAAGGAGGGGTTGGGGCTTCAAACGACGCCGTTTGGCCTTTCTAAAAATCATCGTGACGCTTCGAAGGCAACCTAACGGCTGGTCGTTAATTTTAATATTTCCGTTTAATTTTTGAAGTAACAGTAATAAACAGTGACGTTTTGTTTCTTCGTTGGAAGGGCCTTTCTGTCATTTCCTCTCATTTTACGCAAGTAGAGCGGACGCGCCTCACGCGAATCTCTGTTAGATATAGGAGGGCATTCTCATAAATTCCAACCTTTTTCTGCCCTTTTCCATAAATTTTCCTACATCCACTCAATAGGGTGGGCAAGCATGTAAACATTATATCTACTCTAAAGAGTAGTACGTATTGCAGTTTTTGCGTGCCAATGAATTTAATGGGATGTTTGAGAACATGGATTTGGATTTCAAATCCGGATTTAGTTCAAAATCCATGTTTGGGAAACTAAAAAAATTTAAATTTGGATTTAGATCAAATTCTTCTCATTCATAACATAGCTTATTTTGAAATCCATGCATCTCATCTTGTCATTTGAAATTCAAGATTTCAAATTTTGGAATTGAAATGCATGAATTGAAATGAAATGTTAGTTGCCAAACACTACCTAAGGGAGTTCTCTATGCTCGTGCTTATTATTTTATTGTTGATAAATAGTTATCTTATACTCCAGAGTATATATATATATATATAAAGTAGGATTTTTTAGTTGTGGGATTGACATATAGCAGCTGACAAAGAGAATGACCTGAGTTTTTTTACGCCACGCGGGTTTTATAGGGTGACTTTTGGTTCCTTAGGAAATCTGCTCAACTTCTCGATTGAAGGAGAATTCTGATCAGCTCCTCTCTCGATGGAGAAATCCACTTCGCTCCTGGCCGATCGAGGAAAAAAATTGGAAGAGGAAAACGCAAACGATAACAATCGATTCTTCGCTCCTGACGGAGAAATCCACGTCGCTTCTGGTCTTTTTTCGAGAAACTAATTATAACCTCAATTGATTGAAAGATTTTGTCTACAACTCCAACATAAATTGAATCGCTATGTGCTATTTAAGTTAGTGTCGTGCAAAGATGCTTACTACCGTACTTTTGATATCAAATTCTACAGAAAATGAGTCATAAGAAAGCTATTGTGCTGCAATTATGATTACTATTTTTTTTAATGAGTGAATTTCATTTTGTTTTTACTCCCTATATTATAATTTGCATATATCAGTGCCACACTTTTGTTCATTTTCTCTGATTAATGTCCTTTTTGGTAGAATCCTTTGTATAGTAAATGAGTTTGTCTTCTCAGCGATGGGAAGCTTGAAGTGTGTGTTCCTTCCTATGTCATTACTTAAAAGTTCTTGAAGGTTTTGATGGAGATAAAGTTCCGGGTACTTTTAATTTTTTTGGTCACTCTAAACTTGGTGTTTAGTTTTTTAATTTTTTGGTCACTCTAACCTTAGTTTGTAAAAAGTGTTTGCGATTGAGGGTGAGGGTGACACGGACTGTACAAGGGTCATAGTTTTCAATGATCAAGCTGAGAAGATTATTGGCTAATCTACCATGAAAATGAGTCTGTACGATATCACAAAGAAATTGGAGGTAGTATTTATACTTATTGCATTATTTTGAAGGGTACTTTAATTAATATATCCATAGGTTTCATTGAAGTGGGGATTGTATACCTTATATTGTCATTGGTGTTTTTTCGCCTAATAGGGTTTATTATTTGCCATTGGCATCTTTGTCCGCTAAGCAAGTAGTCATTGGCATATCCGGTCGTTCAGTTAGCAAGTAGAAGGCATATATTACAGATAGTTGAGAGTGTTGGCCTTCTTACAAAATCAAAGGCTCTTATCTTAGAACTCCCATTGGAACTTACTCCCTCTCAGGTATTTGCGTATTTATCAAAATCTTATGAAAACTTCAGTTGATTTGTTATTTTAGTTGCTCTTGCTTGGTAATTTATGATCTGTCTTTCAATTTCTACATTTTTATGTAGCTCTATTTGTTTTTTTAGGTGACCTAAGGTATTAAATATCCTTTAGTAGCCGTAAATAATTGTATGTTTAGAAGAAACTATATCAATTTTTAAATCTATGTTCAATGCGTGCAGGTTAATTATTGCTTATGAATAGATTATATCTTGCAGGGTTCTTCTCATACAAATTAAAGAAGGATAGTGTCTTGGCCTCAACCATCAATAGATCTTCAGTGTGTTTTCTCCTCTCACAATTTTCAGCTTTTCTTTTGGCTTCAACTTTAAAATGGTAACATCGTAGTTCATATTTGATAACATATGCATTCACTTTTTGTTTTCACATAACTAAAGTAAATACTTTTTGCATTTTGTTTATTTCTCTCTTGATGGTAAGATAGGTTGTTCTTCCTTCCACTCTTCCATTCATGGCATCAGATTTTTAATTTAATTACTCCTTTTTGACATAAACTTTCCATTTATGGAATGAAATTATGTTTCGCTTCAAAAAGGAAAATCTTATATGAGTTTCTTAAAAACAGCCTAGCATAGTAAGGGGGTGTTTGTTTTTTCTGCAGGAAAAGGTCTGCAGTTTGCGGACCACTACTGTAGACATTTGCAGGAGAAGTGGTGGACCGAAGGTCTGCGTCTGCAAGAAGAAGACTGTTTGTTTTTTAATGTCTGTAGACTGGTATATAAATTAATGATGATAGTGTACGGTGGTGGTGTATGGACGATTGTGGTGGTGGTGGAGGGTG